ACCTGTGGGCTGCTGCGCGCTGACCTCCACTGCGCCCTTTCCTCGTGCGCCCAACCCCGGAAACCTTGGGTGGCGCCGAGGGAAGGACTGTGGAGACAACCGCTGCAGGGAGTCTGGGCTGGAGAAGCCGGAAGGCAGGCAGCAGGGGTGGAAGGTCAGGGTCCTCTGTGTGCATTAAGAATCCCCAAGAGCAAAGATGGGGTGCGGCACTTGGAGGGAACAGGGCATAACCGAGCGGGAAAGGGGGCTGAGAGCTCGCGCAGGTGGCAGGGAGAGCTTCAAGGGCCCCGGGAAGGCTCAGCGAGTCGCTCTCCACCGGGGGCTGCAGAGATGCTCCGGGCCGGGTGAGATCAGCCTCTTGGTGCAGAATTTTCTAGGCCCTCGGACCCGGGCACACCTCTTTCCCAGAGCCCTGCCCGTCTCGCGGTCCTTGCCAGGGCCTCTCTGCGCTCCTCCCTGTAGCCAGGGGGTGGGCCCCAGCCCTCGGCCGCAGAGCGCACCAGGAAGCGACCTTGCTTGAGTGGTGCGCGCCCTGGGGTCTCTGTCCTTGGTGCTGACCAACTTGTCTCCATTCTCACGGCCCCTCCTTTGGGTGGAGCCGGCCGAACCTCTCAGAAATGCCTGACTGTGACAGGTGAGAGCGGACCGGGACCATCGTGTCCTGGCCTGTGCGGTGACCAGAGGAGGAAACTGAGTCCTGGACGGAATGGAACGGCACCCATTGAGTCAGTTGGTTCTCAGCTCAGAACACCAACTGAAACCGTGAAGGAAGAGCTCAGAAGGGCACGAGGGACCCTTACAGCTCCGTGTGGAAAGAGCAGGCGCTGAGACCAACCCAGGGGGCTCCTCCACCTGGTCCGGCAGGGCTGGCTCAGGAGGCAACAACCAAGGTCAAGTTCTTTTGTATAAACTGACAGTCACTCTCATCTTCCCCCGTGTGACCTTCACAATCTTTACTAGGTTTATGTAGGTGCTATGGTGCTTGTGCCCTCGTTTTAAGGTTCCCAGGGGAAAAAAGGAAAGTGGACAGGTTGGGTACGATTTTTTTAGTAGTGCAAAAGACAGTGTTGCAAAATGCGGACAAGAAGAAAGTCATGACAGAACAACGGACTATACATGTTGGTGCTACAAAAACAGACCACCACCACCCCCCCAAAAAAGCCAGAGACTGCTGGAAGTGCCCCAGGGAAAATCAAAGCAAATTACCCAGCACCCTGAGTCCTAATTTAACCCAGAAACTGATGTCATGGTTTCATGCCTTAGTAGGACGTATGACATCCACATGGCTGTCCCAGGAGGTCCTGAGGCAGTAGGATTACTAACTTCTTAACCTCCAAGGGATCCGAGCAGTTAGTACGTATCCCCTTTTTACCTGCTGTTTCTTCTAACTTCTCATTGTAAAATCTTAATTTTGTGCCACGCCAGCACCCTCTGCTGGTACTTGTTCACCATTCAGGTGTTTCTCCCACTTGCTGTGCCCTTGGGGTCTGAGTTCTTTCACTCACGCCCCTGACCTGAAATTCTGGATGAACAGACAGAGCTGCTCACTCCCTCCCATCACAGGACACACAGAAATGCAGCAAAATGTGCTATAAAAAGTGCTGTGAACTAGTTCAGAATCACACTTGATGGTATTTTTTGCCTAAGCAACCCCTTGGATGTGAATTTCACACCAGTTTGAGATAAGAAGGACCAAGTGTGGTTTTAGAACAGAGATGATGGTTTCTGAATTTTCCAGATAACGCATACAGTAGTCTCTTATTTTAATCTGTATAGATATGATGCAAGACAATCCCTTTTCCTCCCAGACGAACAGACTAGAAAGTCCATCATGCTTGTTGAGGTAGTCAAGTCAGTCATTGCTGTCAGAATCCACTCACAGCTGCCCCCCTCCATGGGGGTCGGGAGGCTATAAATCACATAAGAGAAAATGGTCCTCTTTTCCAGAGGACTGGCTGGCTGGTAGGTTTAAATTGCCAGAGAGTCACGGCCTTTCAGCCAGCAGCACAGTTCTCTACAAAGCGTTCTCAAAAAAGAGAGACCCTCCCTGAGATGGACTGACACGCTCAGTAGCTGCAGCAGAGGGTCCAAACGCCCTTAGAATGGTGCAAAACAGGTGATATTCTGTTCTGTTATACACAAGGTTGCTGTGAGTCAGATCCTACTTTCTTGCCAGCACTAAACAACACTCTCCTCTCCTCTCCTCTCCTCTCCTCTTCTCCCTTCCCCTCTCCTCTCCTCTCCTCTCCTCTCCTCTCCTCCCCTTCCCCTCTCCTCCCCACCCCTTCTTCTCTCCTCTTCTCTCCTCTCCTCTCCTCTCCTCCCCTTCTCTCCCCTTCCCTCCCTTCCTCTCCTCTCCCCTCCCCTCTCCTCTCCTCTCCTCTCCTCCCCTTCTCTCCCCTTCCCTCCCTTCCTCTCCTCTCCCCTCCCCTCTCCTCTCCCCTCTTCTTTATCTCTCTCTCATTGTTGTTGAGTCAGAACCAACTCATAGCGGAACCTCCAATTGCTTTCCAAAACTGCAAAGCATAAGAGAAGAGAGTGTGCATCTTTCTCCTGGGGCCACTGGTGGATTGGAACTTCCAGAGAAATGACCTTGTGCTAGCAGCACGACTCCCTGGGGACCAGGCCACCAGATGTCCCTAACAACAAGTTCTTTCTTTGTCATATAGTCACAGCCAACTTATAGTTGATCCTCCAATGAGTTTCCAAGACTGAAAATCACACTAGAGGAGATTGACCATCTGATGGATTCCAAGAGGCGGCCTTTGGATCACCAGCTAGCGAAGGACTGGAGTTATAAAACCAAAAGGAAAGATCATGCTAAGCATTTCTCAAGCTGAAAGAATAGAAAAACAAATTCAAGCCTCAAGTGGCAAGACTGAAGGATTCTATAGGGGGAAGCTGAGTGATTCAGGAAGCAGCAAAAGAAAGTGGAAGAGCCACTGTACCCAAAAACGTGGTAGACACAGAACCATTTCAGAAGTAGCTTATGAGCAAGAACCAGTGGTAATGAAGGAAGAAGGTCAAAGTTCACTGAAGATATTGGCAAAATCAGGGACCCAGGTATAGGTAGCATACCAATTGAAGTGTTTCCAAAAAGACACTACCCTGGGTGTGCTCACTAGCCTGTCAGTAATTTAGGCATAGGCTATCTGGCCAACTGACTGGAAGAGCTTCACCTGTTCCAGAACAAATCATTTCTTTTACAATCCTTGGGAAAAATCTATAGAGTTGAGACTGAAAATAGTTCAAATGTTCAAATGGATTCTGTGATTTCCTGGAAACTCAAAACCCGTCAGGGAAATGGCTCACATGACTGTGAATGATGGAGGTCAATGTTGCAGAGACTGGTGGACAGTGGACCGGATCCTACCACATGCAGGTGGCAGCACAGCTGGATGCAGCATCCAAGAGCATCTCTGGAAGCATAGTTAGGCCCCTGGTAGGGTAGGGCGTGTATTCCACATTAATCCTATTTCCTTAGTATGACAGTAGCCTTGTCTTTGGTGTGTAGGTTTGGGTTTTACTGCTATTCACCAATATTTCTAGATCACTTCTTTCCAGAAACGTCTCTGCAGTTGTACATTTTCCTGCCTCTTTGACATAGGTATAGTCATGTGACTTTCCTTGCCAATAAAAGGTGTCGATGCCTTAAAATCCATTGCATGATTCGCTTGCCATGGTCCCCATAGTCCATGTGGTGCCTCCAGCCTGTCTTCCAGATGAAGGACAGTGCAGAGCGATGGACCAGCATTGAGCACCAGTGTGAGGAGGTCACTTTGCAGGTGGAGGTAAAGCGCTTAGGGTCACACACTGGGCAAGTTACTTGATCTCTTTGATCTTCACTTTGCCTCATAAGTGATATGGAGATAACAATCCCTCCTTTTAAATTGTGGTGTTGGAGAAGAGCTAAAAAGAACCCCAAGAGACGTCTTAGGAAAAGCGCAGCCAGAGTGCTTGCTGGAGGCAAGGATGGTGAGATTTCAGCTCACATACTTTGGGCATGTTGCTAGGAGAGGCTATTCCTTGGAGAGAGACATCATGCTTGAAAAAGTGGTGGGTCAGTGAAATAGAGAAAGACCAACACCCCCCCCCCCAATGAGATGAATTGGCACAGCGATGGTAGCAATGGGCTCCAGTGTGTCAGAGATGATGAGGCTGGCACAGAATAGGGCAGGGTTCAGATCTGTTTTTCATGGGCTCACTATGGGTTGTACTTGGCTCAATGGCAACTAACAACAGTAACAACGCAACTAACAACAGTAACAACTTGATAGAGTTCTTGGAAGAACGAAATGAGATGATAATTGTAATAATATGTAGAGAATATTTACAAGTGCAGACAGGACTGATTGCTCCCAGCTGACATGACCAGTAGTAGACTGAAGTGCACCATTCCCACTGTATCCAAGGCTGTGTCCACTCAGGGATTTTAAGACTTCTGGATTTCATGGAGCAGAAAATTTTCTAAGAACAATTTGAGATATTCTACAGTTACAACTCAACTGCTTATACCCTTATGTTATGGTTAAAATGTTGCAAATGAACGAAAACATAATATATGAATCATGGCATTCACAGAGCTTCTTTGATATTGTGAACTCTTTCCTGCTGCTTTTTTACACATTCCATTCCGCTTACCAATATGGGGAACTCACGTCCTACAGAAGGCAATCTCAGGTGCTGGCAAAATCAGAGTCAGCTGAAAAGGAAAAATCAGCCACATGGCCCAGACAATCTTCTGCCACTGAGGATACTACCAAATGGCTTACTGTGACCAGAACAGTTGGACCAAGGTCCCTAAGGCCATGGAGCAAATCACTCCATCTCTTTGATGCTCTGTTTGCCTTACAAGCGATGTGGAGCTAGAAATCCTTACTTTATAGGAATCTTGGAAGAATTAAATGATATTATAACTACAATAATATGTAGAGAGTATTTACAATATACCAAGGCCTAGAATGAGGTTAGGAGTTTTTTCACCTATTATTTAATCCTAAATCTTCTCTCTCTTCCCTCCTCCCTCCTCTCTTCTCTTCCCTTCCCTTCCCTTCCCTTCCCTTCCCTTCCCTTCCCTCCCTTCTCTTCTCTCTCTCTCTCTGCCATCAGATCAGAGCTGACTCATACCTGACCATCCAACATGTCTTCAGAGGCAATAAATCACATGGGAAGAGAGTGCCTAGCTTTCTCCTTGGAGCAGTTAGTGAATTCAAATTGCCTCTTGGTGGCACAACTCTTTACCCACTAGGTCACCCAACTTGCAAGTGATGTAGCCAAGACTAAACACAGGAATGAGTCTGTCTGCAGAGCTGGTCCTCTGTGTCCACTGTAAATCCCCTGATATGCAGTCAGATACATGTTATGCATCATATATATGGTATTTATATGTGTGGATATATGTCATATCCCTGTGTGTATGTATAGTATTACATGCTCACAATTTGTGTATTGCTGTCATGTATATAAGATGTGTATACTATATGTGCATGTATATATGAGTATATCATAGATATATAATCATATATATATCTCATATATGCATTTGTAGTAGGTATCACTGTCCATTTGCTGT